ATGAATGCGTCTAAATTTATGAAAGCTACTGTATATATATATATATATATATATATATATATATATATATATATATATATATATATACTCAGCAAACATTCTATAGCAGATTTTTATTGGACCTATATAGGCATTTTGAGTGTCCTTTGTAGTGTTGCTAATCCCCAGCAAACATTGTTTTAGTGGATTTGTAGTGGACCTATATAATCATTATGAGTGGCCCATTGGAGTTTTGCTCATTGGTTTCTTAGTGGACCATTAGTAGCAGCTGCTATAAATGGCCAGCCAATAACTTTCCGACATGTTAATAGTGGCTAGTCATCAGCTAGCCACATTTGGTGGCTGCCACATATGATCCAATGAGTAAGTAACCAATGGTCTAATGAGTAAGCAACCAATGTGCAAAACTAAAGCGAAATGCTAATAATGCTTATATCGGTCTACTGTAACTTCGCTATGAATGTTTGCTGGGTTGGTTAGTGTACCATTAGTGGCTGCCAAATGAGGCTAGCTGATGGCTAACCAAATAACTAATGAGCAAAACTACAGTAGACTGCTCAAAATGCTTAAATAGATCTACTTTCAGATTCACAATTCAGTTTAATTTAGAAAAATCTTGTGGAAGACTAAGAATAACCACTCCAAAACCTGACAACATAATATGTTATTTGTGTAAATTTTTATTTAACTGCTTTCTAGTGTAAATGTTAGTGCCCACACAATTTTAAGATGACTTGTCTTTAATTTTCAATTGTACTCAAAAATTTATTATTGATTGTTTCAAATTTCATAAAGAACACAAGTGTTTGACTGTTAAGTGCGACAATGTGTCATGCTAGTAGAAAAAGCCCAAGTTAAACAGTTTGTAGCACACAATGTCAATGTTTGTTTGCTACCAAACTCGTTTTTAATTCCTGATACATTACACCTTATGTTAAGCAATGTTCAATGGTTGAAAAAATAAAATTTCTTCTACACCTAAATGCCGTAAATTCCTAAACTCTCTTGTGATTACTTTATTAAACCCTCCCTAAACTTGTTAAAACTTTTTTTTGGTCAACCAATGCCACAAAGTTTTTTTTATCTTATTTTAAAAATCTTAAACTTGCCTTACAATAAGTATAGCATTTATTATTCCCTAGCCTAAAACTGAACTGCTATCAAAAAATACAATGCTTCTTATTTTGTAAATAATATTTTTTTTCTAAAATTACCTGCCCAATAAATATTCTTTCAGTGGATTTGCAGTGAACCTATATAGGCAGGCTTGGTCGGGAAGCGGGAGCGATCGCTCTCGATTGCTGACCACGTAAATAATATTTTGTTGCGAAAAGCTGGCCAGATTTTTTAGCCGTTTTGAGAACATTTTAAAAAGCAAAAAAAAAAAAGCGACAAAGATTAATTGGACCGATGAGAGACAATTACAAAAAAAAAAAAAAAACAGGCAAATAAAATATCTTTAAACGCGAAAAAACTTAAAGCTAAATAAATTACATTTAGAACAAATATTTTCGAAACATCGCTCTTTTACAATTTTTTTTATAAAATTAAGCGATGTTTTTTGTATAAAGTAACAACTTACGATTGTTTAAAAGGGAAACAAATATTCTTTATTTAACTAAGTTTGCAAGTTTTTGTTTTACTTAAGCTAAATTATTTTGTAAATAAAAAAGTTAATTTTTTTAATACCTATTTTATGTTTGGCGTAGTTTGAAAAGTTTAACATATTTGAAGCGATTCTTCTTAGTAAGATAAACAAATGAAATAATTAAATCATTGAATTACTATAGGAATTAAATTATCAAGATAAAAATCAACTAAAAAGGTTAAAAGTACTTAATGACCAGAAAGCGAAACTGCTTCACGATATCGCTGATGATGTTTAGTGAGTGGGCTTTCTAATTTTAATTAGTATTTAAAGGAGAAAAAAGTATAACGAGTTTTAAGAATGGCAACTTAAGAGAAAATAATTAGAGTTAGTAAACCAATATCTAGAAACTTTTCTTTATATCTAATTATTTGCTATATATATTTGTGTTCTGTCGTGACCTCAGGCGCGATGCTTGTTCATCCGCGAGTTACTTTGTATGCGTTGTTTGTGTTTAGTAACCAGAAACTTCTTATATGTTTGTTACATAATTAAATAATGTTAAATAACTTTAACGATTATAATTTCATTGAAAACGCAATTATTTTTTTAAGTCTTTGTTTAAATCATGAAAATTTCTTTAAAAGATACATTACGATAAAAAACAAATACACAAAATTACATTTAAATAAAGAATACCATCTCTTTTAAAGTAAAAAATAAGAATATACTAATAAAATCTATGATTTATAATAAACTTTAAAAATTTTAACAATTTAATTAATATATATTTAAAACATTTATTTTTGTAAACAAATAATATAAATTCTTAAAACAACGCTAGAAATCTCAAAACGAAACAAATCATGTATATTACAATTTCTAAAACAATTTAACAGAATACTCTAGAACTTTATTTCGCTTAATCAGCATTATTTTTGAACCAATAGAATTAGTTTGTTCGTTAATTTGGCAGGTTTTTAGTGTTCGCAAATATTCTTTTTATTCTTTCGCACAAAGATGTTTTAAGAACATTCAAGTTTTTTATGTTTCCATGTATGTCCGTAAAACAAAAATTTTTTGTTTCGTACATAAACTTAAATGTTCTCAAAACGACTAAAAAACCTGGCCAGTTTTACGCAACTAAATATAATTTCCGTGGTCAGTATTCGAGAGCGATCGCTCCTGCTTTCCGACTAAGCCTGTATAAGCAATTTAAAAAGTTGATTGGGGTTTTGCTCAACTGCCAACAAACATTCTATAGTAAAATTTCAGTCAACCTATATGGGCATATTGAGCAGACCACTGTAGTTTTGCTCATCAGTTACTTAATGGACCATTAGTGGCAGCTGTAAAAAGTGACTAGCCGATGACTAGCCATTATTAACATGTCAGAAATTTATCAGCTTGCCATTTATAGCGGCTGCCACTAATGGTCCACTAAGTATCAAATGAGCAAAATTACTATGAACCACTACAAAATGTCTATAAAAGGTTCACTGCAAATCCACTAAAACAATGTTAGTTGAGTCTGTTGCTTGTTGGATCATTAGTGGCATCCACTATAAGATCCACTATATCACGTGTTGGAAAGTTATTAACTGGCCACTTTTAACGACTGCCACTAATGGTTCACTAAGTACCTAGTTGATTGGAGTTTTGCTCATCAGTTACTTAGTGGACCATTGGTGGTATGTGCTTAAAGTGGCCAGTTAATAACTTTCCAACAATGATATAGTAGCTAGTCATCAGCTAGTGACTTTTGATGACTGCAACTAATGGTCCATTTGGTAAACGATGAGCAAAACTATATTGGACTGCTCAAAATATATAACCTTCACAAAAAAAGAAGAAAAAAAAAAGGTTTATACAAAAGTGAAAAAAACCTAAAAAAGAAAAAAAGACTATTTTTTCTTAACATAATTATTTTCCACTAAAATTCCGCTATAGAATGCTGGCTGGGTAGTTACTTAATTTTTACCCTCACCTAAATTAAAAAAAAATAATGATTGGACACTGTGCACCAGAGAGACTGCCAGGTTTTTTGTCGTGGCACTTAAACCAAATCCTTATTATATAAAAGTAGTATATATATTGTTTTAAAAAATATAAACTTTGAAATCGAAACGTATTGCTATCATTTTTTGATATAAATATATTATAAAATTGTAATAAAATTTCTTAATTTTTTTCTAAACTTAAAAGTGTTAAAAAAAATTGTTTTTATCCTTGGAAACCACTGTTAGATATTTTTTATGTCTGGCCAGGATTTGATGATTGGCTAAAGTCAAAAAATGTTATTCAGCAAAAGTACCAAGCCAGAGGCTAGGATGGAAACAATTCGAACAAAATATTAGAAAATCTGGATTCTCTTGAACACAAGTTTTAGAAACATTTTCTTATTTGATCCCAGTTGTTCAGTGTTTGAATTAAAAGATTTTAGAAATGTAAAAAAAGGTTTATGTTGCTTTTCTAGCATTTTACAAACTGGCTTCAAAGAAGCAATAACAAATTTAAAGAATTCATTTCTTTCCGCACAAGAAGTTGCAATAAATTTAAATAAGCAAATAAATACAACATGGAAAGTCCACATTATACTGTTTCATGTACAGCCATATGTGGAACACCATAACAAAGGATTGGGTAACTTTGCTGAACAATTTGGAGAAAGTATTCAAAGTTTGAACCAACATGGGCAAAGTTTAAGAGGCAAAAAGAGCATTCCGAACACGGTGACAGCCTATTATCAGCATTAGTTGATTTTGGAGCAAAAAGAATATGATTTTGTTTGTAAATTTATTTATATAGTTATATGTATATTTATATAGTGTATATATATATATATATATATATATATATATATATATATATATATATATATATATATATATATATATATATATATATATATATATATATATACATGTATGATTATGTTATAAATATACAGTTTTCTGAGCAATGCAGATAGTTTGTTTCAAATTTGAGCATACATGAAATAGTTTTGAATGTGTAGATGAAAACACTTAATATGTAGAACAATTCAATAGTTATTTTTAATTGAACAAGAGTTAAATTTATATGTATCTTTGACATTTACCCTTTTGCCCCATTTATGACCCTTAGCAATTTGTTTGGATTTTAAAAATCACTTTTTTTATTGTTATAATACTTGAATAAAAAAGGTTACATTTGAGTGCCACGACATAAAACCTGGCGGTCTCTCTGGTGCACAGTGTGAAATATGATTAAAAACATTTTTTAATAATATATTTTTTATGCATACACTAAAAACATTATTGACTAATAAAAAGTGTTTTTATGTTTTTCCATATGATTTATTTAGATTAAAAGTTATATTTGTTTTGTTTTAGTTTTATATTTGTTTTTTTTAATTTCATATTTGTTTTAGGAATTTATTTTGCAGTTAAAGTGGAGTGACAATACTATTGCAGTGATTTATCGACCACATAGCATGCTGTTTGATTTTCAGGCAATTTTTATATATTTTACTTGTTACTTTATTATTTTATTTGACATTCCTGTCAAAAATCAATTAAAAAGAGTTATTTAGATCTACTCTAATTAAACATGCATTGGTACTTAAGGGGTTGGGGGGATGGTATCTTTTTGAAAAAGTTTATTGTGATTTATTATTTGACAAATTATTATCAAAAAAATGATTAGGTCAGAGGGTTGTTGACGTCAAGCATTTTTTTTTCAAATACTGCATATATTAATGGTTATTATTTGCACTATTTAGTAAATGACCTATAAAATAAAATTATATTGGATTAATTTAAGTTGGTATAAATATTCCAGTATATTTATATAGTAATGTAAAATCTGCTAAGTAAAAACAACCTGAATGTATTAACAAGTTGTGATATAAAAATTGATTTATTCATTATTAATCTTGGATGTGCAAGCATTGCAACCATAATGGTCTTCTTGTTATCCTTTGTATCTTCTAAAAACTTTGCTCTTATAACAATTTAGATTTTTTGTTGTTAAAAGTTTTATTAGTAATGGTTTGTTTTGAAGTTTTTTTTTGATTAAGGTGAAGGCGAGTCTTAAAATTTTTTTTAATGAGAAACTCATAATAATTTTATTACAATATCAGATGCCAAACTACAAATCCTGAATAAGGGTGTTTTGTTTATTCCTAGTGTGAATTACTTGCAAAAAAAGTTTGTTTAGTTAATCAGTGAAGAGATTAAAATGATCTAATTTTTATGGATGTTTTTTTGAAATGAAAATAACAACCAATTAGTTCAGCTATTTTGTAGAAAATTACAGTGGACACCCATAAATGCAATATAACAACACATAAATATTTTCTATAGATTGATCAAGACAGAGATAGTTAAGAAACAACCAAAGTATTAGTACAAAAATAGTTTTTTACAATAATAAGTTTTGATAATTAGCGCGTTTAAAAAATGCGCTAAAAAAAAGCCAACATAATTAGAATATACAATCCATAAACTGATAAGAAAATAGAATCTAAAAAAAAAAAAAAATTAACACAAAAATTTAACTTAAAATAAAAATCTTAAAAAATGACAAAATAAATGGAAGAAAAAACCAGAAAAAAAATTAAAACATTTAATGTAAACTTAATTGTAAGCAAAAGTTAAAAAAAAATTTATCACAGCTCTATCAATCTTTATCATTCCCTCCCATGATTATATAGGTTTATACAAGGGTGAACCCATGTTGGATCTTGACCATCTTTGCCAAGTTGTCAAAACAAAATCTAATATGCATAGTCATATAAGGTGTGTGACTGCATGTCTTTATGTGAAGGCCTGGCTATAAAAAATTTTATTGGATTTTATAGGAACAAAAGAATGTTTTGTTCCTATAAAATGTAGATCGCAAGAACCAAACCAAATTAAGTTTTTTATCTTAAAATATAATAAATATTCAAAAAAGACGTTGTTCACCTTATTATGTATTCTGAATCTTTCTTATCTAAGCCATTTATTACTATGATATTTTTGTTATCCTATCGAAATGACATTTTACTAATTCTTAAATATTTAATTAATAAAGAATATTGGTAAGTGGTATCATTTATTAGATATATTTGCCGAATTCATAAATTTTTAGTTAGCAAATATTTATAGATTTTACACTTAACAAATTTACAGACAACTTTTTATTAATTAAAGCAATAATTAATGTTTTATGGCAATAACTCAAGACAGATGGTAATTAGAATTGTCAATGTGTTGCAGCGTTAAAAAACATTTTATATTTCTAAATTTATGTTGTATTTAGCAAGTATTTTACATTAAAAACTGCCTCTTAAAATTAGGTCACAAAAAACTACCAAAATTTACAATAAAAAGTTTTTTATTAAACAATTTCAATTTTAAAATTTACTTGATAATGCTACACTTTTTTGCAATCTTGACCAATAATTGTTCAATTTTAAAAATAAAATAAGCGATACATGTTTTACAGAATAAATTTCATTAAATATATTCTCGCATGATTGAATAAGAATTTCGAGAATATTTGTACCTGATGAAAAGTTTAGCAAATAAATGCTGTTTATTAAACTTTCATATGGTTAACTCTTTTGCTACCAGCCGCTTTAACAAAAATCTTTACACTGCAACCGCACATTATTTTGAATAAAATTTGGATAATATAGCATTAAAAACTAATTAAAATTCGAATAGTAAATCTCTTTAAAAGCATAACAAACTATATCTCAATAAACATTTTTAACACGCATCATTGAACAATAATAAATTTTTAACACGCATCATTGAACAATAAGAAATGCAAATTTAAAACCATTGTTTTTATAAATAATAATAATATAAATAGTAAAAAAATAAAAGTATAAAAAAAGTATAAAAATAATGTTTTTCTTCAAAAGACATTTCGTCATGTTGGTTTGACAAGGTTCTAACTGACATTTTTTAAAAAATTGAGATTGACTTTATTGGACTATTTTTATCATAACAAACAAAATAAATTAAAATTTACTGAAATCTAGCATTAAATAGGCGAACTGCCATTGTGCCAAAGTTCTATCAGATTTAGTAAACTAGTATTTAGCTTGACAAGGTTCCAACTAACAGGTTAGGGTAAACTCTAACTGCAGACTATTCCAAATTTTTTTCAGTTAATTATATTATGATAGAGAATTTCATTCTCATTAAAAATCATATAAAAACATTGGTCTCAATATCAACGTATAGTGTTCTAGTTTGACGTTGATGTAAAAAAAATATATATATATCAAAAAAATGCTAACATTTGGTTTTTTTTATAAATCTTTTTTATAAACCTTCATTGCACAACAAAAAGTACTGGTTTCTATCAGCGTCAAAACAACTTTTAAAAACAAAAATAAATGGTTTTTTAAAGGTAAAATTCAATTTTAAATTTAGTAATGACAGTTCAGTCTTCTCACAATATTCCTATTAGTTGATGTAAGTACATTTTGCACCACATATTCTTAACTGCCAGTCAATGTAAGGATGTTTAGCTGTGTCTAGCCCCCAACGATTAGTCATGCATGTTAATTATCCATTGCTTATTTCTAACGCTCAGTTGATGAGTGTATAACTTTGAATATAATGAACAAAATAATATAATATTTATTTACTATATCATATACACTAGTTATAAATAAAGAAGATTTTTTAAATGATCTAAAAACACTTATAAAAATGTTGTTAATAAAAATGTTGTTAGCTAATGTTGGAAGGATAAACATTTTTAATGAGAGAATGGGTTATGGTTCATTATATCAGGCCTTGTGATAAAGCGTCGGGCGATGTGAATTTTATGTCGTCCAAGAGCGATTTTGCGTGTAGCTAGGGCTATTTGCATCGAGCAAAATATTTTTTGTTTGAGTATATTTAAAGATATTTTTGAGCGGAGTTTTGATAAAGTAATTTACAATTATTTTAACATTTAATAAAGTATTTTAAAAACCGCACACAGTTGATATAAAAGTTTGAATTACAAAAAAATTAAACATGCTCATTATATACAAGAAAAAATTCAGATTAAAAAAAAGTTTAAATCTTTTTAAGCTAACATTTTAATAAAATTATTCAGCAATAGCAAAGTTGTCGATAAAATTAAACAAAAATACTTTCTTTTAGTTTTATATTTTTAACTTAAATAATTATTTTACGGGGGTTTGTTAGGTTTTAAAATTATTCCATAGACTTAAAAATATTTATTAACTGTTAGACGTATTTAAAGTATTTAAGAGTATTTCGAGGAAACATTTTAAAAATTGGTAAGCGCAAATAAAAAAAAAAAAGGAATAATATTAAAACGTATTCTACTTGATTCAATAAAAAAGTACAGCTATTAAAATTTTTGTAAAAAGTAATTTGAAAAAAATTACTTAAATAATAACAATCGCTTTTTTGTTAAAAGTTACTGAAACTCAACGAAGCGTGCTCAAGAACAGCTGCTGAAAAATAGAAGGTCAACAGTTTTTCGAATAATTTTTAATAATAATTTTTAAGAATAATTTTTTCGCTGAAATATGTCTTTTATACCTATAAGATTTTTATGTTAACATTTTATTTTATTTTACCAAAAATATAATTCCTTGTAAACATTAAAAGTCTATTCAAAACATTCGTTAAAGTTTTTTAGCAATATGAGTTATTGTGCTTATCAACCGCTTTATGAAAATAAATAAAAATTAAAAAATAAAAAAATATTATATAAAATCGCTAGTAAAAATATTAGCTATTGCACAGTTTTTAATCGTACAATATTAAAATTTCCAGTTTATTACTTGCTGGCTTTTTGAAAAGAAAAAATAATTATTTGAAAAACTTTAAATTACATATTTGAGAAAAAAAAAATCGAATATTAGCATATTTTATAATCTTTTTTAAATGTTTAGTCATAATGTTTTTTATTCATTTAGTATAGACAAAACGTGTCAAACGTCTAGAAAATAAACAAATGTTTTTACAATTTAAACAAAACATTCCAAAACATTTTTAAATAATAACATTTCTACATTAACGATTTAAAGTAGTTTAGCGGTAATTAAGTAAATTGGTGCAGTTAATGTCGATAAATATGAAAAGCATATAAAAAGAATTTAATGACGTCAAAAATCACATCGTGCTTATGCGTCGCGCAGGTTTTATTCATCACAAGGCCTGTTATATCAATACATCCAATACCTTGCAAAATAATACTCAGTATTGTTATTTAGTTGTATAATAATATGCTGTCAAGTTAATCGCACTTAACTTGCCCATAATGAACCATTATGGGCAAGTTAAGTGCGATTAACTTGGCAGCATATATATTTCAACTAAACAACAATACTGAGTATTATTTTGCAAGATATTGGATGTTTTGGTAGAGGAAAAGCAATATGAATCAAAATTGGAACAGCGTAATATCAAATAGAGTGTTGCATTACTAAATACTAACTTCCTAGTTATTTATGTTACTGCAAACAGTTATTTTACTAAAAAAATA